CACTAAAATAGGTAAGTATCTTCTTAAAGAAAATTTAGGAGAATACAAAGTAAATAATAAAGGTAAAAAACTTAAAACCATAATTATAGGAAGCAACCAGTATAGATATAATCCAGAAAAACCAATAAGCAATAGATTGAGTAAGAGACTTGAAGCAGTAAAGAAAACTAATGACTACAAAGCAAATCAAATCAGAGAAAGAGTAGGAGCAAGAACGGTTTTAAAACATGCTATTAAGAAAAAAGCAGTAATAACAGAAGAAAGAAGCGCCTTTAGAGCATATGCTAACGCCTACACAATTTCAAACATTCATTTAAAAGAGTTGAACGGATTGACTTATTTTAATTATCAATTTGACAAACTTAATGAATACTTGAAAGAGAATAGAGGAATGAAACTTAATGCTACAATAAATATGAAAGTTATGAACTTATTTGATGAGGAGAGAAACGTAACAGTTAGGACAAGGTCGTACACTATTGTAAATGAAGAGGATTTAAGGAATGCTTTGAAAAGAATGAGACCTGATGTTGAAACAATAATTTTAGATATGGCTGTGTATCAGTCAGGATTAATAATTAGCAATATGAATAATATGCATATCATGTATAATAAATATAATCCGACTAGAGCTGGTAAATATATTGAACTTCCAGAATGGATTAAAAAGAAAAAGGCATGTATCAACATTAAAAATCAAGATGACAAGTGTTTTAAATATTCTATTGAGTGTGGATATTGTAAAATTTGTGATAAAGCACACCCTGAAAAGATGGTTCATTACAAGAAGATAGAAAGTGATTTGATTTTTGATGGTGTGAGTTTTCCTGCTAATAATAATGATATAGATATATTTGAAGAAAATAATAAATCAATATCCATTAATGTTTATGAAATTGATGATAATGAACAAATTGTTATTAGTAGAAAATTGAAAAATACAGATGCGTCTTTTCATTTTGATTTATTAAGAGTTGATGATGAGGATTGCAGTCATTATGTGTATATAAAAAGTTTGAGCAGACTTATTAATAATCAAAAAAGTAATCATAATGGTAAGTCCTATTTTTGTAAATATTGTAATCATGGACTTAGAAATGAAGAACTATTAAATAAACATTATGATAGTGGATGCATGGAAGTTGAAGGACAACAGATAGTAATGCCTAAGCCTTATGAGAAAGTGAGTTTTAAGCATCACTTCAAAAAGTTAAGATGTCCTTTTGTTGTATATGCTGATTTTGAATGTTTGACAGAGGAACTGAAAAAACCTGATGAAGATGAAGATAAAAACACTTTTTCTTATCAAGAGCATAAGCCATGTGGTTTTATGCTTAATATGGTTAATGCTGTTGATAATACAAATTATGAATTTATGTATCGCGGTAAAGATGCTGTTGATGTGTTTTGTCAAAAACTTAATGAGATTAGGACAGAAGTAAAAAAATAAAATGGGAGAAAACAAAAAACTAGATATGAGTGATGAAGACAAAGAAGATTTTAAAAATGCTAAAAACTGCTTTATTTGTGGAGATAAGTTTAGAATGAACTATAAGAATGCCAAGGAAGCAGAGAAATATAGAAAAGTTAGAGATGGAGGGCGAAGCCCTCCAAGCTACTCTTCTGACAAATATCAGAAGGTCCGCGACCATTGTCATTTTACAGGTAAGTATAGAGGTTGTGCTCATAATGTGTGCAATCTTAATTTTTGTAATAGATATTTTAAAATTCCTGTATTCTTCCATAACATAAAAAAATTATGATGGCCAATTAATTATTCAAATGCTGATAAATGAAGTAACAACAATAAAATAGGTGTCATCGCTCAGAACAGTGAAAAATTTATTAATATCAGTTTTGAAAGTTTGAGTGTTAAAGACACTTTTGGGTTTTTAACTGCTTCATTAGATAAGTTAGCTTCAATGAGTAAGTATGACAATACAGATGAAGAAGATAAAAGTAAATGGTTATTGCGTGAAAACTGGAAAGATAATTTTAGGTTCAGTAGTAAAAATGATTTGATTAAGAGTGAGAAATGTCTAGATGTATTAACTGATAAAGGTGTTTATCCTTATGACTACATGAATTCATTTGATAAATTTGATGATGAGCAATTACCGAGTAAGGATGATTTTTATAGTCAGTTGAGTGAAGAAGGTATAAGTGATAACGACTATGAAAGGGCAAAAATTATATGGAAGCATTTTGACATTAAGAATATGGGTGAATACCATGATTTATATTTGAAAACTGATGTATTATTATTGACTGACATTTTCGAAAATTTTAGAGATGTATGTATGAAATATTATGGATTGGACCCTGCTTATTATTATACATTGCCTAACTTTGCTTTTGATGCTATGCTTAAAATGACTGGTGTAGAGATTGATTTAATATATGACCAAGAAATGTACGAAATGATAGAAGCAGGACTTAGAGGAGGGTTGTGTATGGTTTCTACTAAAAAAGTTGAAGCAAACAATAAATACATGGGTGAAGAATATGATGAAAGTAAAGAAAGTAGTTATATTAACTATTTTGATGCTAATAATTTGTACGGGTTAAGCATGATACAAAAACTGCCATATAAAAATCTAAAATGGGATGATACATTAAAAGAAGAAGACATTATTAATTACAAAAATAATAATATTGGATATATTCTAGAAGTGAATTTAGAATATCCTAAAGAATTACATGATTTACACAATGACTATCCAATGGCACCTGAGGTTATGAATGTTAAAGCCAACATGCTGTCAGATAAACAAATTGAAATTTATGAATTTTTAAATCATAAAAAGCCTATGGATGAGAAAACAAATAAATTAGTATTGAATTTAAATGATAAAGAAAAATATGTAATCCATATAAGAACCTTACAATTTTATTTGAAGCAAGGGTTAAAACTTAAGAAAATTCATAAAGCAATTAAATTTGAACAAAAAGAAATTTTAAAACCGTACATTGAGTTTAACACTGAGAAGAGGAAGAATGCTAGAAATGATTTTGAGAAAGATGTTTATAAATTGATGAACAATGCCATATTTGGAAAAACAATGGAGATAAAAGGAAACATTTAGATTTTGAGGTTGTTAGTGATGAAACTAGATATATGAAGTGTGTAAGTAATCCTAACTTCAAACATAGTCATATCATTAATGAACATTTGGTTGGAGTTGAAAAGCAAAAAACAAAGTTGAAACTAGACAAACCTATATTTATTGGGATGAGTATTTTAGATTTGAGTAAGCAACACATGTATAAATTGTATTATGACGTTATGAAACCTAAATATGGAGATAATATTAAAATGGTATATACTGATACTGATAGTTTTGTATTTCATACTAAAACCAATGACATTTATGAAGAGCTGAATACAATTAAAAAAGAAATAGATTTTTCAGATTATCCTAAGGAACATAAATGTTATGATGAGAATAACAAGAAAGTATTAGGTAAATTTAAGGATGAATTAAAAAGTAAAATAATAACAGGGTTTATAGCCCTTCGTCCTAAATGCTATGCTTACTCAGTTTATGGTGATGATAAAAAATATAAGAAATGTAAGGGCATAGCAGAAGGCACAGTAAGACGTCAAATGAAATATGAAGAGTTTGAGACGGTTTTAAAAACTAATGAGGTTATACATAAGTCATTTAATAGTATTAGAAGTAAAAACCACAGAATTTTTAGTGTAACAACTAAAAAAATTGCTCTTAGTAGTTATGAAAACAACAAATATTGGATAGATGGTATAAACTCACTTGCTTACGGCCATTATAAAATAAATTCTTTGAAAACGACTTAAAGAAATATTGACTTAATATATTAAGATAGAAATGTGTGATACAGAAAGTGAATATAGTGAATATAGTGATATAGAAAGTGTGTATAGTGAATTTAGTGATACTGTCCATGAAGATACTGATGTTAAAAATATATTGAAACAAAAGTTTATGAATTACAAATGTAAAGACTGTGAGATGTTAAAGTTAACAATTCAACAGGGTTTTATAGATGGTGTTAGTAATAATATTTGTCAATGTATGATATGTGATAATTGCAATAAAATTTTAAACAAACTTGATGATATGAACAACAGAGACTTTGATATTATAAATGTTAAAAATATTGATGATGATTTAGAAATATTTGTTTTTATTGAAATGAATAAGTTCTTGACTGAAGAAGAGTTTTATAATTTATTATATAAGGGCGATGATGAAGGAAATACTAATGTTTTTATTGTTAAGTACTACAGCATGGTAAAAAGATTATACAATATGTCTTTTAGCATTAAACGTTTAAAATACGGAATGATAATGACTTTGATTTCTTAAGTATGTTGTGAGTATGATTGGAGTAATGGGCTGGTTTAAAAAGGAAATAGGAAATAATATTTATAATGAAAAAACAGTTGATAAAATAGTGAAACGAATTGAAAGAGAATTTTAAAATTAATTAGAATAAAGTTGAACTCATACTATGATTATCACATGTAAAATATTATATGTTATAATTGTAATATACTTACCGTTTGTAAAGATTGAATTATTATATTTTCCTAATTTGCTTATCTCTTTCAAAGTGCGTTGTTTAGACTTGGTATGCTTCTTCAATTTTTTCGTGCTTTGGCTGTTTGTTTTTGTTTTGTTTGATACTCTTGTGATATGTTTTGTTGGTATGTTGCTTTGTTTTTTGTTGATGTGTGTTTTTGAGTTTGGGTTCTTTGATGATTTAGAGTGTTGCTGTTTTGTTGGTATGCTTGTTTGAATTATTTAATGTTGTATGCTGTGATTAAATATTTTTTTTGCTGGTTGTGATTATTTATTTTGTTTGCTTGTTGTTCTGGATTTTGTTTTCTGTTTGTGTTGCTGTTGGAAAAAAATAGTAGAAAGAATAATTCTTTGAATTCTCCTTTTACTATTTTCCCCCCCCCCACCCACCCACCCACCCGCCCCCCCCCCCCCAACCCACCCATCGGGCCCGGCCAGCGCGGCGTTCCAGCGCAGGCACTCGGTGCTCTGGGCCAAGAGCCTGGGCACCTCCCAGATGCTCGGTGGGTTCGACACCTTCCCCACGCCCCAACAGGTCTGAACTTTTGGGCCAAAAAAAAGTCTGGCTTGGCAAGTCTGGATTTGTCTCTCGTTGTGAAGAAATGATATGTGTTGTTGTTTTTTTTTGGGGGGGGGCGCCAAAATGGTCTTTCCAAGAGTATGAAGTCCGGCATCTCTTGTGTGTGCGGGCTACTCTGGCCCGGCCCAGGGCGTGAGTGTGTGGATCTAGGCTTTACGTACGTATCTTTATGCCTTTCTGGAAACCCACTCAAGTGGGCGCTCGGCAAAAATTTAGTGCGGGCACGGCAGGCGGCAGAAAGTATGCAGTCCAGGAACTCACGAGTGAGAGACTTCTGCATCGGGAAAGGGCTTGGTTAGCGAGCGTGATACTGTGGATGGTTGCGAGCGAAATCCGCAAGTCTCGCACGGAATGAAACCGTGGTTGAAACCATAACGTGTGTTGGTATTCACGTGGGGGAATCGAATCAATCACCAAGGTCTCTGAACGGTGCGAAATGGATTTCGTCCATCCACAGTAGCTTACTGGGCTGTTCCAAATGGAGCCTCGGCCAATCCCAATCCATCCATAACACCAAAGGGGAACCTCCATAAAAACCCGAGGAAGGATTGCACGTATCTGACCATGAACGAGGTATGAGTTGAGCTGCAGAACCAAAAGATGCATGATGTGTGGCTGCCTTTCGACCTTTTGGAACAAATTGTTATCGTACCATAGTTCCCTGGCTCCCGACAGATCATGAGTCATATTTCTTCGATGTTTTGGACGATGGGAATGTGTCCAAGAAGCATGTATGCTATCATGATTTTTTTGTTACATAATAGAAACCCTTTGTGAGTACAATGGTTGTCTAGAGTCTGCAAGGGTCCATGATCCGAGTGAACAGGTCTTTCGAGTAATGCTCAATTGTTGAAGCACTTGCAGGTGAGCCACCTTCGGGACCCAGCCTTGCTTGCCTTTGGGGTGTGAACAACTTCCCACCCAAAGCGCAACCCTCGAAACCCCAAAACACATGGCGCTGGTCAATGTTGAAGGGAAGCTTACCCCAAAAAAGATCGTCCGCGTGACATCTAGTTGACACACGCCCCATAACCACGATTGCTTCAAGCAAGCCTCTTCTGTTGATTGCCCAACAAACTCGCGCCACAATGCAGGTGTGAGCGGCTTTTCAAGGACTCGGACACCACAACACATGGCCCCAAATACGGTTTTCCCCTTGTCCCTTTGAAACCAAACCGCACCGGCTTGAACCCCCCAACCTGGAACCGTCCTTCCTGGCCGAACCCGAACGCTCGGCCTCGGAGACTTGCGAGCCATCCCCTGCGGTGCTTTGCGCCGATCGCACGAACGAGGAATCTCCAACAGGACTCAAATGGCCATGGGTCACAATCCCGGTAACTTCCAGTGAACATCCCGATCCCCACTAAAGTAGGTTCTAAAACACCCAAAATGGGATCCCATTGGTTTTGACAACCACAGCCAAATGGGTCTCTGGGCACCAAGTTTTGAGCCACAGCCAGATCGCAGTGACCTCGAGAAACGGCCCCGTCTGGAGCTTCTGAAATGAATCAGCTGCCGTCAGGTGAGTCAAAATACAAGCGGCTCCCGTAAAGGACATGGGCCAAAAATTGGCGCGTCCCCCAAGCCTTTGCGGAAAATGTTGGAGCTTGTGACCCACGCCCTTCCCAAGTGGGTATATCTTTTTTGGGAATTGACCCCCCAAACTGGCGGTGTTCATGCTGGTCTCCTGCAAAAACCTCAAAACAGGGTAACTCCAACAAAGACTGTCTCAACATTCAGGGTTTTGCAGTCCTTTTAAGACCAAAAGGGGCTCCCTAAGAAAGGTACCACACCCAAATAAATAACAGCCTCATGTGCGAGTGCCCCAAGATTTCTGCGAGTCTGCGCTTCAGCTTGGGGTTCTCAACCCCAAAGTTGCCTCCAAAAATAAAACACATTGGTACACTTACATGGCACCTGAGGATACCTGGAAGCTCCGTTTCCTCAAGAGGAGGGATCCTCGCATTATCCGTCTTTTCAAATCTTCCAAGACGCACACTGAAATCAAGATAATATGAAAGTGATGATTGGGTGTGTCTGTTCTTCCTTTCAACCGTCCACGCTTTTCTTGAAATAGATACTAAGATGACAATGGGACAGGGAAGGAGACCCAATCATACATCCTGCCTCAGGCCTCACCAATACCTCTATTTGCTTCAGTCTCTCTCTCTCTCTCTCTTTGGTCGGTTGCTTCGCCTTGCCGTGGTTTATTCCACATGGAAGCTTTCAGAAGGCCTCTGCAAATGGAATCAAGTCTTCCAAAGGCGTCGTAGGAGCTTCCCATTGCGGCGTGCAAGCCAAGCGAGTTGGAGCGCGTTAGGAGCTCGGTTGGGCTACGGATCCGTTGGCGACGTCTTGGGATATGCTCGGTATTTCGATTGTTGCGTATGTTCGGCAATTGCGGGAAGCTCATCCCTTCTAGCAAAGAACATCCGAACTCGATTTGGGGGTTGACCCTTGAAACGTTGGTAACCCACCAAACACTTACATGAAAGGGCACAGCGTGAAACAGGGCCATGAAAGCCCCAAATCATGCGCAACCTAGCAAGTTTGTGGTCAAACTGCCGACAACAACAGGAGGCACAGCAAAAGTGAAATTGCAACATCAGCCAAGGAGAAATCTACATCAAAATTAGATTGGGGTCGTGAGGTACTACTGCACCAACTTACCTCAGACCATGGGAGGACAATGTTTGTCCTGATTTACGCTCGACCGAGTCAATTTGGTTTAATAGTACCACCACCCCATCCTTCTGTAAGGCCCTAGGCGTGCCGTGCCACCGTCCCCTTTTGGCCCAGGCCTAGGATGATGTCCCCGGCGGACTCCTCCAAAGAAGCCGGCGCGTGCTTTGCCTGAGGCCACGAAGCCAGAATGGGGTCGAGTGGAGGTCTCTCGGAAGGCAGGGGGAATCACTCTCCCAAGAAACAATATGGCTGTGGCTCAGAACAAGGTACCACAATGGCACCTCGGTGTATGCAACCAGAGATTAAATCCAGCGTAACCCTAGCTCTTAAATTTTGAGCCACACCCATGGAACTGCTCCCCCTTTTGAGAAGCACCCATATGGAGATCGCGAGTTGCCCTATGGTCTGAAACAGGGCTGCAGTTGCCAGTAGCTCGGAAAATCGCATTTCCTGACGCAGATGCTAAGTGAAACCACTTCCCAAATGTGCTGCTCAGCGATAAGGCTTCGATAACTTGACACATCGTTGCTTCAACTCTGCCACATCTTTGATCCATCTCGTCTTGGCTGAATTTAAAAACCCGCCCGATTTTCCACCTCTGTCCCACCCAAAAGCATCCTTCGCACGCGCCCCTTCCGGTTGCGGATGCTGCATTAAAATTGTTTGTCTCCGCTTCTCCTCTTTGACGTTCCGTAGAGGCAGACATTGATGTGGCCGTGGTTCAAAAATAGGTACCCCAAATGGAACCCTGGCAAGTGGAGCCATGGAACAAAACCTGCGGTCCGTATTCTCTTGTGGTTTACTTTTGACCCATACCCATGCGATCCTCTAGCTTACAATTGCTGCCATGCGCTGCCCTGCGGCAGAATAAGCTGCGTACCCATCATCATGATTTTAGCGGAGATCAAATGTGTCGCTCCACTTTGATCCGGTGTCTCGAAGAGTATGCTATACAACTCTCGTCACAGGCGGCCTTTTGGAGAAATCGATGGGTTTCCCTGCTAAATGGAATAAAACTCATCTAAACCAGTGGAACCAATCTATCTTTAACCAAACTCACCTAGAAAGGACACCTCTGACTCTCGTCCTGAGCCCATTCTGATAATGTTCTACTCTAAGGCACCGGGTCCCTAGAGGCTCAAATGCACACAAATGTCCAAAAGGGAGGGGCAAAACCCCCCCATACTGTTTCCATCTGCCCCTGTGTTTTGGTGGAAAACCTCCGCAATCTACGAACAAGATCTTTCTGGACCCAGGAAATGATATTTATGTCACCCTGCCGGAGCTGTCTTTTGCTCGGACACCGGATTTTTCCCTAAGGGTTCGGATGAACCAACAGTGGTTGTTGAAACGAAGGAGCGCGGATTAAGAATCCGCTCCCTAGATAGCATCAGTCTGGAGAAACCCTTCAGGGAGCACCCTTGCAATAGACTGGGTCCATTCTAGCAAGACCTCCTCCAAATCGCCCAAATGCTGCGGATCAAAGCGAAACCACCTTTCGAACATGGCAATTTGGAGCACAGAACAGGCCACACACAATGAAAACCACTTGGACCAGCGTCTTCACGCAAACCGCAAAGACCTTCCAACCCCCACCCCCGGCCGAGCGCCGGCCGGCGGCCGGACTTTCCGCCTTGGGATCCGGGGGCAGCGTGAGGTTCAGCTGCAGCATGGCGCCCACGAAGCTGGACACCAAGTCCTCCTCCGCTCGGAAAAAAACCGAAGCTTCGATTCGGGCCATACCCGCCTGGCGCCAAAAAAAAACCTGGCCATACGTGGATGGACGACATCCATTTCGCACCCAAGAAGCCCTGAAATGGGACTCCCCGGAAACTACCAACAATGCTTTCCCGTGGTTTCTTAGGTGCGAAATGGAGTTCGTCCATGCACAGTAGGCCGACAGAAAATGAGAGCTTCGGACGATGATCCGTTTCATCTATCCAAATAAAAGTACAATAGCTTGGGAGGTGACCCCGGAAACCTTGGAAAAATAAAGGTTGATGCGCCAGTTCGAAGGAAATCGAACCAATCATGAAAGGGTTTAATGGTCAAAGGTCGGACTGACGTGCTATCATCTTGATCTTCATGCTCGGTGTGGCATTCTTCATGAATCTATCTATCCAATCATGGTGCCTCGACAAGGATATATGTGCCCAGTCAAGGGGCATTCATATGGATGAGAAGTAGAGGTGGGCACAATGCTCGACCATCCAATCGAGTTTGTTTGGCCTTCCGCCAATCCGAGCGCTGGTAGCTGATTTGAAGCCCAGGTGTCCCCAAGAACGGAATCATCCTTTGGGCACTGGAACATGGTGAACCCAACTGAAGCAAGAACCGAATCCATCTACGGTCAAAATCGGCAAAGACTGTATCGACCCCTGAGAAAGAATCCCCCACTTTCTATTGAGGGGGGTCCCTGTTCCCGGGGATTCCTTTCAAACCGAGACGCCGCAAAATTTTCCTCGTGCCCCGCCCCCTGCGGGGAGCTACACGTCTCTGCCGCATGCCAGCCGGACGGATGAACTTGAGGCTGAGCCCGAGACAAACCGGTTGGAGCTCGGAAATCTCGCCTCTGCGACATCGTCTGGCGGGGAAGCAGGCATGCAAAACCTGCATCTATACAAAAAATGGAAGCCTCTCATCTAGAAGCACTTGCGGTGCACAATGGTGGGCCCGCTCTCATCGTACTCGCCCTTGGAGATCCACATCTGCTGGAAGGTGCTCAGGGAGGACAGAATGGAGCCACCAATCCAAACACTGTACTTTCGCTCAGGTGGGGCGACAACCTTGATCTTCATTGTGGAAGGCGCAAGCGCAGTCAGCTCCTTGGTCATGCGCTCGCCGACGCCCACAAACATGGTCGTGCCGCCTGACAGCACAACGTTGGCATAAAGGTCCTTCCTGATGTCAACATCACATTTCATGATCGACTGGAAGGTCGTATCATGGATGCCGCTGGCCTCCTTGCCCACAAAGCTGGGCTGGAAAAGCACTTCTGGGCAGCGGAAGCGCTCACTGCCCACAGTGATGATGTTGCCATCCGGCAGCTCGTAAGTCTTCTCCTTGTCGGAACTCTCAGAGGCAGCCTTCATCTCACTGTCAAAATCCAAGGCGATGTAGCAAAGCTTCTCCTTCACGTCTCGCACGATCTCTCGCTCCGCCGTGGTGGTGAAGGAGTAGCCGCGCTCGGTGAGGATTTTCATCATGTACTCTGTCAGGTCGCGGCCCGCCAAGTCCAATCGCAGGATAGCGTGGGGCAAAGCGTAGCCCTCGTAGATGGGGACCGTGTGGCTGACGCCATCACCGCTGTCCATCACAATGCCTGTGGTGCGGCCGGAGGCGTACAAGGACAGCACCGCCTGAATGGCGACGTACATCGCCTAGCAGCCAAGGAGACGGCTTGCATGGCTTAAACTGAGGACAGCACGAACGTGACACAAAAGGCACATTGGCCGAGGCGCAGGGACGTTGAAGGTCTCAAACATGATCTGGGTCATGCGCTCTCGGTTGGCCTTTGGGTTGAGCGGCGCCTCGGTCAAAAGCACCGGGTGCTCCTCAGGCGCAACGCGCAGCTCGTTGTAGAACCTCAGCGGCGTCTTGCGGCGGCCTGCCGCAAGTTGGGCCAAGCCGTGGTTTACACAGTCATACTCACTGATCGGTGCCAAAATGGTGAACCCAGAACCATGCCTCAAGAAGTGACAGGGCGGAAATGTGGAAATATGGCAAGGGGATTGTCCCTTACCTCCAATTATCCTTTCGGCGAGGACGTGAGCTCGCGTGTAGGCCATCCTTTACCTTGGGTTTCAGCTTCAAGGCCCGACCCTGAGCCCAGGGCGTGTGATGCCAGATCTTCTCCTCGGCGAAACACTTCCCATAGCACCAGTCAGTCAAATGTCAAGAAGACATCGCGCGAGGCTTCCAACCCCAAAACGAACCCGCAAACCAACCAACGTCGCTGACCCCCTGAGTGTACCAAAACCCCTGTTTTTGACTTTGCCCAAGCCCCCAGAAACCGTCAAGACAAATGGCTGTGGGTCAAAATTAGGTACCCAACATGGAACCCAGGTAAATGGAACCAAGGACTAAAACCTGCGGTCCATATCCTGGTGGTTTAATTTTGACCCATACCCAAATGACCCCAGAGTCAGGAACCAAAGTTGAGGAGGCTTCCAATCAGATCCGCAAAGCTTCCATATCATCCCAGTTGGTCACGATGCCGTGCTCGATGGGATACTTCAGGGTGAGCACACCTCGCTTGGATTGCGCCTCGTCTCCCACGTAGCTGTCCTTCTGGTCCATACCTTGATGCTGTGCAAACAACTGGGGCTCCTAAAACACGGGTAGTCTTTCTTGAGGTTGCCACTCTGTTTATAATTTTAGGCAAAACCAAAAGAAAAACCGCCATTCTTGGGGTCCCCCTAGTTTAAGCCACATCCACATGTCCGCTTTACGCGTCACACCAATAGGAGCCCAATTTCAAAATTGGCCCCTAATAAAAGTCGATGCTGAAAAGCCACCAAAGGGGGAGAAAAGAAAAGGAACCCCGGCGAATTCCAGCCCCCTTCCGATGATCTTTGTAGGGCCATGAAGGTCGGACGAGATCACTTCAAGCGTCACAAGTTGCCAAAAAGGTGATGTTTAGAGCGTCGGAAATGGCTAAAAAACAAAGGGGCAAGCTTCCCGACCAAAAGTCCAAACCGTAGATTCTGTCCAAGCGGAAATTGTTTGGTTTCTTCTGCTCAGAGATTAAGCACCCCAAAGCCTTGACGAAGCCCTCTGGTGAGTTGCCAGCCGACGAGGCAGTCGCGTTTCCGTGTGGCTTCCCGCCACTTGGTGGTTTGGAGTTCGGGAGTGGTTTCCCATCCACCCACAAGAAGCAGGGGTTCAAATCCCCAAACCACCAATCCAAACCACCAACGAAGGGTAACCTGAAGATACGCCGTCTTCGAAGTCCAAATAACATCTAGTGGGAAAGAGGCAAAGCAAAGCCCGCGGCAAGTTCGCCGCTTCTTGCTCGCTGAGCGAGATTACTTTCTGCTTTGAGCTTCAAACACTTTCGGAACAGAGAATGCTCAGCGGTCTGTTGAATCTTCAACATCCCAAACCAGGCCTGCGAGAAAAGCCCGAATCCAGTTTGGGCGGGGTGTTCGCGAGCGCGAAAACCACCTAGTGTATGCGGGCCCGTGCAGGGGCCCACTTTGCTTTCATGCCCCTAGCCAAGCAGGAGTTCTACTTTTCAACTGGGCCTGGAACCCTGATAAATGAAACATGGACTAAAACCTGCGGTCCATATCCTGGTGGTTTAATTTTGACCCATGCCTTGAATGGCCAAGCTGTATCTTTTAAGAAGTGCCAAGTCACCCACCATGATACCCGGCATCTTGGGCCTGCCGACGATGGACGGGAAGACGGCGCGGGGCGCGTCGTCGCCCGCAAAGCCGGCCTTGCACATGCCGCTGCCATTGTCCACCACCAGAGCCGCAACCTCCTGGGGTGTTGCTTTTTCAGGGTACCCCCCCTCCCCCCAACAACAAGGAATAATGACTTTCCTTTGGCTTCCCTTTAAACCCACCAAGAAAGGGTGTGCCCTCAAAAAACGACACGCCCATTTGAAGGTATCCTCATTTTAGAAAGTACCCGTTTTGGGTGGGTTTTAAAGTGGAGGGGTCCCCAAAAAAGGACACACCCACATAGGGGTGTGTGTGTGTGTATGTGCTTTTGGACAGTTAGATGGCCCTGGAAAATGGAAGAAAACCAATCAAAATCAGTGCCATCTATGTTTAACCGTACTAACCCAGAAAGGCCACCTATGCATACCCATCTAAGTGTCCCTCAAAAGTTGGCCATTTCTTTGTTAAACCAATGCTCTCTTGTTCAGCACTGCTCCTCGTCACCCATGCTGTCGTGCGAGCGGAAACGAAAATGCGAAGGATGTGTGCAGCGGCGGCTGAAGCGCTGAAGCCAAGATTTTGAGATACAAATGGTCGAGTCCGGAAATGCTTGCAGGATGTCCCTCTGTGTCGCGCAAAATTGGAGGAAAACCGCGCCCTGAGTTACTTCATGGTCTTTGAAAACAAGTCAGAGCATCTCCACTGACCATTTGAGAAAGGCAAAAACAATGGCCGCAAGAAGAGCCTGTGCTTGACAAATTCAATCTAACCTTTGAGGCGATCGCAACATATGGCTCACAGAACCACAACTGTGCCATGAGATCAACACCGCCAAGGCAGCTGCGGCTGTGTTGCCGTGACGGGAAGTCAACGACTGTGTCAATTTGGGCGTTTGCCCGCTTTGGCTTTGCCCTGCCAGCGGCAAGCATGACATCGAACTGTGAACTTGAGGGACGAAGCCCTCTTCGACACAGCCCGGAAATCATGCAAACCGAGCAAAACTTGAATCTAACACGCCTGAAGGGCGCAAGCAATAGATGCGTCTAGAAGCACTTGCGGTGCACAATGGTGGGCCCGCTCTCATCGTACTCGCCCTTGGAGATCCACATCTGCTGGAAGGTGCTCAGGGAGGACAGAATGGAGCCACCAATCCAAACACTGTACTTTCGCTCAGGTGGGGCGACAACCTTGATCTTCATTGTGGAAGGCGCAAGCGCAGTCAGCTCCTTGGTCATGCGCTCGCCGATGCCCACAAACATGGTCGTGCCGCCCGACAGCACAACGTTGGCATAGAGGTCCTTCCTGATATCGACATCGCATTTCATGATCGACTGGAAGGTCGTATCATGGATGCCGCTGGCCTCCTTGCCCACAAAGCTGGGCTGGAAAAGCACTTCTGGGCAGCGGAAGCGCTCACTGCCCACAGTGATGATGTTGCCATCCGGCAGCTCGTAAGTCTTCTCCTTGTCGGAACTCTCAGAGGCAGCCTTCATCTCGCTGTCAAAATCCAAGGCGATGTAGCAAAGCTTCTCCTTCACGTCTCGCACGATCTCTCGCTCCGCCGTGGTGGTGAAGGAGTAGCCGCGCTCGGTGAGGATCTTCATCATGTACTCTGTCAGGTCGCGGCCCGCCAAGTCCAATCGCAGGATGGCGTGGGGCAAAGCGTAGCCCTCGTAGATGGGGACCGTGTGGCTGACGCCATCACCGCTGTCCATCACAATGCCTGTGGTGCGGCCGGAGGCGTACAAGGACAGCACCGCCTGAATGGCGACGTACATCGCCTAGCAGCCAAAGAGACGGCTTACATGGCTTAAACTGAGGACAGCACGAACGTGACACAAAAGGCACATTGGCCGAGGCGCAGGGACGTTGAAGGTCTCAAACATGATCTGGGTCATGCGCTCTCTGTTGGCCTTTGGGTTGAGCGGCGCCTCGGTCAAAAGCACAGGGTGCTCCTCAGGCGCAACGCGCAGCTCGTTGTAGAACCTTGGCCGTGACTTGTCTGCTATGCCTTTGCCGTCGATTCTCGCTGGACGTTCATAGTGAATGCAACTTTGAGCCCGTCGCAAATTAAAAAGATAATTAAAATAATGTCTGCACATTATAGAAATCATTAGACTACAAAATGAATTCACAATAGTTTATTCTTGATTACTAACTCTCTGTCCTAAGCACTATTTCTTCTTTAAAACATCCATGATCTCCGTCCCTTCCCTCAACCAATTGTAGCTGGGTTATCAAGAGTCAAGGGCCAGAAAGCCAACCCTCCATCTTCAGATCCCATCTGAGCGCAGCGCGTGTGATGCCAGATCTTCTCCTTTGATCTGAATTGCCGGTCAAGCAAACTCATTCTCTCCGAAGGATCCTACCAACAAACTAAACGTCACAGGGAAAGAGTTGCAGAGGTCTTCGAAATCAGCAAAGCTTCCATATCATCCCAGTTGGTCACGATGCCGTGCTCGATGGGGTACTTCAGGGTGAGCACACCTCGCTTGGATTGCGCCTCGTCTCCCACGTAGCTGTCCTTCTGGTCCATACCTTGCGATATCGAAAACTGCCTGGCCAGCTTCCTACCATCTCCTACCTGTTAGGGCCTAGCCATTGGAAGATGTGCGCTTCCGCCACCCCAACGCACAACTGCAGCTGCTTCACGTTTTGCAGTCGCCAAGATGTGCATACCCTAGGTGCTTCATGTAACGATCTCGGTCAGGGAATCTGTGCCATAGTCCAAACTCCCAGACGGTTGGTGGTGAGGGTTCCCCAGAAGCGTATTGGCAGTTGTCGACATTCCCCAAGAGGCTGATGACCTTCCCTACCTTGAGCAGGGCGGGTCAAGATCCTGGTACGGACCTCTTATTCATAAACCCCCAGTTGTTAGTTTGTGTTCACCCCGCAGTGGTGTCCGATTGGAGGAACGGCGCTCCCACTGTCACTGAAAGATCCCCTGAATAATACACTGGGTAATGACACTCTTTCCAACAATCATGGAAGTGCAGAAAAAGTGTTCAACACGAGGGCAGTCTTGCATAAAACCCCTCTTATGGATGGGAAAGGGGTAATACAAGGGCTGCTTTCATGACCAAGTGTGGTTGAAATTCTCCCAAGCACATTCTAATTGTTCAGGCCCGTCCAGCATTTAATTCAGGGGTTGCCAGCAGCCGCCAAGACACCCATGACTACTTGTTCACTTCAAACGGGGGTCCCTCATCACTTCCAAGGCCCAGATTAGGGGTGACCTTGGGAAACCCTGAAACCTAGCTGCGACACCCCCAAACCCCGGCCAAGACACCCACCATGATGCCGGGCATCTTGGGCCTGCCGACGATGGACGGGAAGACCGCGCGGGGCGCGTCGTCGCCAGCGAAGCCGGCCTTGCACATGCCGCTGCCATTGTCCACCACCAGCGCCGCAACCTCCTGGGGTGTTGCTGTGTGGTGCCTTTTTTCAGGGTAACCCCCCGACCCAAGCACACACTGCTCAAACATCCTCATCTGGGTCTTTCTTTTTAGGAAGGAACCCGTTTTGGGTGGGATTTAAAGAAAAACCAACAGGGGTCTCAAAAAAGACACACCCACATAGGTGTGTGTCCTTGTGTAAAAATAGATGACCCTGGTAAATGGAAGAAAACCAACCTAAAACAATGACTAAAAAAGCCGCCTGTGCACACCCATCTACGTTTCCCTCAAAAGTTGTTTGCTTCAACCAATGTGTTGTTGTGCAGCCCTCCTCGTCACCCATGCTGTCGCGTCAACACAACGAAGGAGCAACGGATTGAGAAATGGCGGCTACCGCTGGAGCCAAACCCATCAGGCAGCCGGCTGCAAGCAGGCCTCCTGCCCACTTGAAGAAATGAGTCGCTGCATATTTGGTGAAGCAATTGACAAACCCCTGGTCGCGTGTTCCCCGTCGTGGCTCTAACTGAAACCGGCATTGCAGAGCACCCACTTTGCCAATTTTGGGTTGAGCTCACCAATTCAAAGACAGACCCATGTGCCTCTTGGCAAGCAAGTACGGAGTTGTGGAACAGAGGGCTGCCTGAGAAGCAGCCCCAAACTGGTTCGATCGTTCAAGGCAAATATCTTCGGCATGCTTTTGCATTGGCCGAGATCTTGTTCCTTCTCCTCATAACTGGCCTCTCGGAGAAAATCTCCTTTCACAGGTTCCAGGATCCACTTCGCGCCTTTGTGTTGCCCCTCTTTCTTCGTCATCGCTTCACTTTAACCCAAAGACGGTTTGGGGAGCCTCTCCCCTTCCCCCGGTTTCGGTGCCCCGCGCCCAACACTTTTCGGGCCGCCGTCCCTTCTCCGCGCGCCGCTCGCCGAAAGGGCCTCCGCCGGATCTCCTCTTGCCCGAGCTCACCAGCAGGACAGCGATCTGGCTATCTTGTGCACTTCGGGCCTGGTAGCATTGGCTTTCATTGGAATGTTTTTGCTGCGCGACTGGTACATTCCAAGTTTCAGGTGCCATGCACTGCCCTCACTGAGGCCCTGCTTCCTTTTGACACCCAGCCTCTTCAGCTTGCGCAGAAAGCCCGCAGGGCGCGCCAGGTGCTCGGGGAAAGCAAAACATTCCTGCCAGGGTCACCATGCGAGGCCGGCAGTCGCTGCACCCTGGTGCAGCAAGAGAAAAGGATGGGCAATCCGGTTTCGATAGATAATGTTGATGCGGGACCGATGAACCTTGCAAGTCTTCCAAACATCTTCCCCCATTCCTGACCACAAAATGTTTCCAACGGCTCCATCGAAGGCGCGCCCGTGGAGACCCAAAACCCCGCCTCTCACCAGCTTCGGGACGCGTCGATCAGCGCAGCGAAGCCGTGCGCCTAGATGCACTTCACGTGGACAATCTCAGGACCTGCTGCGTCGTAGTCCGCCTGCGCTTTTTCTGAAGAGCCGGAAAAATGTTCGAATCCAAAAAGGCAACCAGCCAAAAGCCCTGTGGCCTTTTGGGGAAGATAGTTGATTGTGAAACACCCAGGTCAACCCGGAATCGCCATCCATTGTCTAGAAAAACAACCAAAAAGCACGCCTACGGACTTCAGCTCTGATCGCTGAAGTTCAAAAACAGGGTAACCCCAAAACGCCAAAATGGGTTGCCCTGGCAAATGGATCCAAGGACCAAAGAACCTGCGGTCCACCTCCTGGCAACATTTTTTTTTGTGACCCACACCTTTCCTTCCCGCCACACCACCTGCGCTCCGCCCCCAAACCGCCCGCGCTCCGAGTCCGCGCGCTCCGTCGATCCGAGCCGCCGCCTTGGAGATCCACATCCGCCCGAAGGCCGGCTGCGCCGTGATCAGGGCGCCCCCCAGCCAGGCGCCGTACCTCCGCTCCGGCGGCGCCGCCACCGAGATCCTCGGAGCGGCCCATCGGATTCGCTGAGGGTGGGGGGGTAGAGGGATCGATTTCCGGGGGGAAGGGGGGGGGGATTGGTGATAAGTCAGAAGCTGGTTACCTGGTTTGCCTTGAACCTATTATGCGGTGACTTGATGGTGGCAAAATACTGGGGCCAGAGGTGCTGGCACAGTGCACTGACTTTACCAGAATGTTCAACCGCCATCATGAAATCACCAGCATCACCGGAGGCCTCAATCTTGAAGCACCAGGCCTCACTGCCCGTTGTGAAGAGAACAAGGAAAACTGACGAGGACCTTTTCACACATCACCGCAAGGGACAAAATACAGCAAGGAGAGCCAGCAACAAATTCAGCAAGGGAAATACCGACCATCTGCCACACGGAGTAAGGAATCATCTTCGAGGAAACACCCGGAAATCTAACACATCCTTGTGGAAGCTTAACCTTTCCCTGACACGAAGGTGGCCACGCGTGTCAAAATCCGGGGATCCAACAAAAAAAAACGCTTTCGGCGCTCCTCCCGGCGTTTCCCGTCCGCTTGCCCCGCTTGGCTAAAGCCAAAAGGAGCCGAGACACGGCACAGAGGCCATCTCCGAGAGCTCCTTCGCCAGGCGCTCCCGGAAGCCCGGCACCAGACTGGCCCCGCCTCGAGAAGCGATTTTTTTTGCTCTAGGAGTAGCTTTTTGAATGGTCATTGGCAGGGCCGTGGGGAATGGAATCCACTTCTGTGATACAACAGAAAGGGCCTAACCCCAAAGACTACTTTCTTCATACAAAGGGGGATTCCCTTGTATCACAGAAGTGGGGAGAAACCCCTTGATCCCACAACCCTGGTCATTGGTGTCTGGTGGTTACAAAGTCCGCGCCAGGCACCAGTGGATAGCCTGCTTCGCCCATTTATTTCTATTGGTACCTTCCATTTCCGTTCTTTCCAGGGATCCTTCTGTCAAGAAAACCTTTGGAAACCCAGGGAAAACGGCCAGTCTTTTGGAAAGTGATGGTGGAAAAGAATGGGGAATCAACCCCTAGACTTGTTGGTGCAGAGGAGAAATGGAGTCTGACCCCGAAAACCATGCAACTGGTGGTTTTATTTTAATGGGATTTTTGGGTTCATTCCAATTCATCTGCGCAGCAGCAAGATTAAAATGGTCGTAGTCTACCCGCCAGGTAAAGAATCGAAATGGCGGCTGCACTGCTGCACACATTTGTGGTTGGGACTATCCTTTACCTTCATCTACCCAGGGGGACCACCACGGGCACCATGGGCACCACGGGCACCACGCGCGCCGCACCACAAGGCACCGGCACCAACTCTAAATCAATCCAGAACCAGCCCTAAACCAACCGCAAACAAACCCTACACCAGCCCTAAGCCAGCCCTAAACCAACCCTAAACCAACCCTAAACCCCCAAACCAGCCCCACCCTAAGCCGACTGAACCACCCTAAACCAACCCTGAACCAGTCCTAAAGCAACCCTAAGCCAACCACAAACCATAACCTTAAACCAACCCTAAACACGCCTTAAACCAACCCTAAACCAGCCTTAAACCAACCCTAACCCTACTTTAACCCTAAACCAGCCCTACACCAATCCGAAACCAACTGCAGACCAACCCTAAACCAACCACCCTAAACCAACCCTAAGCCAGCCCCAAACCAACCCCTCAACCAACCCTTAACCAGCCCCAAGCCAGCCCCCAACCCTTAGCCAGGTCTAAATTAACCCTAAGCCACCCTAAACCAGCCCTAAACCAATCCTGGCCCTAAACAAACCCACCGGTGTCCAACTCCAGCGGCGGGAGTTTCCAACTCCCGCCGATCTTGTTTCCAACTCCGGGCAGGACAGTCACCAAGTCGGTGGCCTGTGCACTTTTTCATGACCTCGCCTGAGAGAACCACGTTGTCGTAAAGGCTGGGCCGAACATCGGCGTCGCATTTCATGAGGGACTGAAACACCGTGTCGTGAAGTCCGGCCACCTGCGGGTTGCTCATGCGCTAATGTTGACTTCGGATTGATCTGGAGGAGCCTCATCAGAGCAGCCCCCTAAAATAGTTGTTAATTTCCTTGCTGAAAGGGGGCTAGCACGCCTGACTAGCACTCCCCTCCGGATTCATTCGAAGTTAACCATACTCCCGTCCCCAACAAATCTACCAGGAACATACATCCTTCAGGGAAGTCGTAACAAAGCAAGGTGTAGTCGTGTAGTCGGGAGTCAGCTGGTTCTTCAAACACAGGCTGCAAGAGTGAAGGCTATTCAAACGTCAAGTGATGCACCAAGTTCGCTGCGAGGCTTCATGTGATTGTTCAGCGTCAAACTACGCAATACGGGCGGCATCCCGAAAGAAACGATATGCCGCTCGTAATTTCCCACATGTTGGTTTGGGTGGCCATAAACAACCTCCTTTGGGCTCGGGAACATGGTCCGTTTGTTGAAACCCATCTTGCCTAGCCCTAGCACCCCACCCCACTTCAGTCGAAGACTTTTGGCGCGCAATCCAAAAAATCAATGGGGCTTGGCGACGTAGCTCTTTGGCGGACTGCTGTTCTTTACCCTCCCAGCACCACCTCCTTTTCTGAAAAACTGTCCATTCGGAGCTTGTGAAGCAATGTCATGAGCGATTGCTGATGAAAGCGGCAACCCAAGTGTGCTCCTGAGCTTCCCAAGTTTTGGGCGAGAAGCCTCACAAGAGAACTGACTTGAAGATAGCAAGAAAGCCACGTTCAAACCGCCAAAAAATGCGCTGCTGTTGGGTGTGTGTGTGTGTGGAAACAAAAGCACAGACCACATGTTCCTCACCCCACCACCACCACCCCCCCCTGCCCCTTCACATTTTTGGGCCCTCGAAAACCCGCCCAAAAAACAACAACGCGCGTCTCGCGCCACGTCTCGCGCCACGTCTCCGCCTCGAGGCCCAGCAGGTCCGGCCGGAACATCGCCTCGGGGCACCGAAAACGCTCGCTGCCCAGGGTGAGGACGTCGCCCTGCGGCAGCTCGAAGTGTCGCTCCTGACCCGGTGGTCGCCAAGCCCAAAAAACGGGCGGGCCTTGAAATGGTGCGGCCCTGAAACACGAGCCTTGAAATGGCGGGGTTCCTTTTGTGTCCCTCAAAAAAGAGCCTTGAAATGGTGGGTGTTCTGTTGCTTGCCCTTGAAGCGAGCCTTGAAATGGTGGGTGTCCTGTTGCTTCATGACATATTGTTAAGGTAGACGCCACACCGGTACGGCCAAAAAGCAACTGCATTCTTTGCTTCATACTTTACCCCCCGACTCAAGAAAGCGATTTTCATCATGGGCTAGACAGCTGCCACAGGCTAGCTCGCCAGTGCAGAAGCCAGAAGCATGGACTCCCCCCCCTTTTGGGGCAGTCCAAAAAGCTCGAGTCGGCCACCCTCTGCTCGTGGCCAAAGTCTAGGGCGACGTAGCACATCGCCTCCTGGGCGAAGTGGTTGAGGCCCTTTGAGGCTGAACTGGGGGCTGAACCGGGGGCTGAACTGGTGGGTCAACTGGCGGACATGCATGTCCATGGTTGGATCTATATATCCAACCATTGCTCAAAGCAACCATCTTGCCTCACCCCAGAATGCGCGGGTTCCACTTGGCAAGCCTTCAGATCATGACCTAGCTGTCCAGCAGGGCAACCATTGAGTTTCATGGCCCCCTCAAGCTGGCCCAGCATCGTGGAACGATCGGTGGCGATGCCTGAGGTTGGACATCTACTTGGAAGCCCCGAAATCCGGGGTTCTACCTTGAAAGTATCGGGTGCTCAATAGGTATCATGAATTCGGATGCGCCAACCCTCCATTTTGAGCGTGCAATAGGCACAACCAACATGGGCGTGTTTTGTTGAGGCTATCCTTTCGGCTGTTCAAAGGAAACGCCGTTTATTTTCCGGAGATTAGGGGTCTTGAGGGCGTAACCGCCGCGAATCGCACCACATTTGGCTTGAGGACAAGGGCCAAGGGCCAACCATTCGGGTCCTGAAAATTCTTTCACCGGGAGATGTGGTGTGTCTCCAATGCGACTGTAACTTGCCTCATCCTGGCAGACTCAGAGCCCAACAAATGCCCTGATTTTCAGCATCCCTAGAACCTAGCGAGGACCATTCAAACCCGCTGTTGATGGACAAGCAAAAAGGGCAACCAATGACTTTTACGAACAGGAAAAGAGCATCAAAGCACCTAGAACAGGCCAAGAAGAAACCACCTACCCCAGAACAGGCAAAAAATAATCAAACCACCCACAAACTGGTGAGCGGATTTTGTCAAAATCCACCCCCAGCACGCCTTGATGTCGCGGACAATCTCGCGCTCCGCTGGCGTGGTCAGGTTGTACCCCCGCTCCTTGAGAAGCTTGCCGAGATACTCCGTCACGTCCCCGCCCCCCACCTCCAGCCGACACACCGCGTGCGACAGGACGTAGCCCTTGCGGCGGTGGTGCGGGAACAGCCCGTTGTTGAGAATAACGCGTGTGGTTGCTTTGCCCATGAATCTAGAACTCGGCTGAAATCACTGCCATGCTCAACGAAAACGAACTAAAAGGACGTCAAACCACCCAACACACTCACACACGCACACACACACACACACACACACACACACACACACACACACACACACACCCACGCCACCCACGCACACGCACACGCACACGCACACGCACACGCACACGCACACGCACACGCACACGCACACGCACACGCACACGCACACGCACACGCACACGCACACGCACACGCACACGCACACGCACACGCACACGCACACGCACACGCACACGCACACGCACACACGCACACACACACACACACACACACACACACACACACACACACACACACACACACACACACACACACACACACACACACACACACACACACACACACACACACGCACACACACACACACACACACACACACACACACACACACACACACACACACACACACACACACACACACACACACACACACACACACACACACACACACACACACACACACACACACACACACACACACACACACACACACACACACACACACACACACACACACACACACACACACACACACACACACACACACGCGCGCACACACGCGCGCGCGCGCACACACACACACAGAGTTGGTTGAACTTTCGGCTAGCGGTGCAAGCGAAATCGAGGGGGGGGGGGGCCATCTCCAAAGTTGTTCATCGACAGCTTGGTTCAAAGGCCTCCGATGGTCTGCTTCAATGATTGGAAACGGAAGAACTACGGGGGGGGGGAGGGAGGGAGGGGGCAGGGCTCGAAAATAAGATGCCTTTTGGACATGACCCTCCCAAAAACAATGGAACTTGAAGGACCCAGAGAAGACCATCTTCTTTTAGCAGGGCCCTCATTGCCTCGTCGGTTTTTGGAAGGAAACTATTTTGGTTGGGTAGTTCTTGACATAGTTTGGGAAACGGGGTTGGTCCTATGAACCAGTGACCATCAAACCAGCCCTCCTCTCCCCCAAGATCCCACCCCCATGAAAACAATGGTTGACCATGTTTAGCTCCATAGGTAAGCAATGACTACAACTGGTCCTTAAAGGATACATCTCACAACCATCTGCTTAGGTGATCCACCAAAGGTCACTGGTGAAGCTGATCCTCCGAAAGCAACTTACTGGGGTCCATTGATTTACTGCCACTCCTGGAAGTCCGGAAAAAGGGGAAATCGAGGGACCCCTGTCTGAATCAACTCTCTGGGCGATTTTCCACCTGGCAGCTGGTGGCCTCCAAGAGGCCCATGGTGGCCATCTTTGGGTACACGCCCCGTTGCTCAGTCTGGCTTCAAGGAAAATCAGAAGGACAAGCATGATTCTTGAGGGCCTCCCATCTCCCCCATGTTGAGACAAAAACCCGCCGCACACCTTTGTTAAGACAAAAACCCGCTGAGCACACCTCTGCTAAGAGAAAGACCCACTAAGCACTCCTGTGTTGTGTGTGTGCGTTTGACTGCTTGGCGCCTGCCCTGACCGAGTCCCATCTGTTTGCCTCGGGAAGGCGCCTCCCACACGGGCACCGCGTGGCTCACCTCGTGGCCGCACTCCACCACCAGCCCCGTCAGCCGCCCCGAGGCATAGAGCGACAGCACCGAGGCGCAGGCGACGTACAGCGCCTCGAAGGGAGAAGCTTCACCGAAACCTGGCTGTGGGTCAAAATTAAACAACCAAGCATGTTAGCTCACATTTCCGTTTACCGGGGTTGAATTTTGGGTACCCATGTTTGCCCCGCAGCCACCTGACTCGAGTCATCATCAAACCCGGTATTAAAATGGTCGACCCAGAACCATGTAAAGAATTAAGAAGGCGGCCGCAGCCTATTTATGATTGAGATTGTCCCCTTGCTAACCTTCACTTGCCCGGGCTTTGATTTTGGGGTTTCCTCAAAAAGCGACACGCCCAAACAAGCAGGTCAACAAACTGGCACGCGGGAGCAACAGGTTGTTTTGGGCTTTCCAAACATACCATTTATCTTGACCAGACTTAGACCCTTGCAAGCAGCAAGCTGCTTGCTGGTTGAAAAGCAGTCAGCTAAGTTTGGCAATTGGCAATGACGCCAACGCCTTGTTTTAGGTTTGGTTCATACCACACCAAGGGTGTATGCGTCTTGTTTGAGGCTCGGTACCCATCTTGGATCCCCAATTTTCAGACAAACCCATGGGGGGTCTTTCTTTGAGGCGAAGGGTTCGCTTGTCAGGTTGGCTTAACCACTTTGTGGGTGTGCTTTTCTTGAGGCGAAAGGTACCCGTTTTCTCCTTGGTGTAAAGGGAACCCAAATGGAAAGCCACCATCGCGAGGGTCCCGTATTTTGACACATACTCTCCGCAAACCGATCAGGAAAACCCTGATCCGACTCAGGAAATGAGGTTTTTGGTGTTGAGTCCAGAAGGCCCAGAAAGGCCCCCTTTCTCGGCTGAGATAGGTTCACAACACCTCCTCCCAGCGCCTTTCGAGTCCCAGAAGGCCCAAAGGGCTAATCCAACTTGCCAGTCCAAAGCCAGGCATTGAAAGAGTCTACCCAAACCCCAAAAACCCACGAAAGCCATGGTTGCACGTCCACTTCCCATGGGTCATCAATCACTATTCAGGACGTGATATTTGTGGTTGCTAACTACACAGATTGTTCTATCATGTGGTTTTCTAGTAGAATGACCCTGGTTGACCCTGGTTGACCTGGTTGCCTCATAATCTAACAGGGCCAACCTATTTCCCCAATACAAAACACCTTCTGCGTGCGATGTTTCAGCATCCAAACAGGGGGCCACCTATGTTTGCCACATGGCCCAAGGGAAAAAGAAAAAGGCCCCGGCCCTTCTCGGTCCCTCTTCGGCCTTCCGCCCGTCCGAGGCGCGGGCAGGTCGAAGGTCTCGAACATGATCTGCGTGGTGCGCTCCCGGTCCGCCTTGGGCGTCACCGGGGCCTCCGTCAGAAGCACGGGATGCTCCTCCGGAGCCACCAGCAGCTCGTTGTAGAACCTTGGGCGTGACTTGTCTGTTGTGCCTGTTGCCGTCGATTCTCGCTGGGCGTTTCAAGTGAATGCAACTTTGAGCCCGTTGCAGAACCTGGTTAGGCGCAGCTGACGGACGCTCTTGCGCACGCGCAAATTGAAGGCGCGAGCCCAAAACCCGCCCTAATTCGAAGCTGGTTAAGAAGGCAGGACTATAATGAAACTGGTAGTAGAAGAACCAGGTCACACATGTGTCCAATAGGGGTTTCGGGCTGTGTGGGGCTTGCTTTTTGAGACTCAGTACATTTGATTTGGTTGGTGAGAAAAGGGACAAGTTTATTTGTGTTTTGAGGCTCAGTACCCTTGTTCACCTGGTTTTAAAGGAAAACGTAAAGGAAACATCACCCAACCAAATATAGGGAACAAAAGGTTGGTTAACCTACAATGTGTCAGGCCGTTTCCCTAAACAAACGGTGACAAGGGGAGCACGTGGATGTTCAACCCGCCTAAGTAGGTTGTAACCATGGTTGTCAGGGAACTACCCCCAATTTCCCAAGTTATAACCCATGGCAACCAACTTATGTGGCCATGGGTCAAAATCCCGTACCCCCAGTGAACATCCCAATCCCCACTCAAATAGACGAAAATGGGTGGTGCACCTACCCCAACATGGTACCATCGGTTTTGACCCACAGACATGGGGGTTGAACATCCAAGTACACCCACCAGAACCGAGGCACAGGTGGTGCCAGAGCCGCTCCACGTAATCCCAGCTTATCACGAGGCCCTGCGCCAGTGGCTCCAGGTTGATCCAAACCAGATGGTCCATAGGGCTATGCCGGCTATGCATCCTACCCCTGGTGCAAACCTTCATCTAGCTCGTTTCAGAATTGACTGATGGGTGTGCCTGTCTTGGAGTTGGTTCCTCCGTTTTTTGGTTTCACAGGGAAACCAAAAGGGAAACCAAAAGGAAAACCGAAATCCATTTTGGGAGTTCCCCAAAATTTGCACGGGAATGTGTTTGCCTAGGAGTTCACAATGAGTCAGCGGACTCCGGACAGATCCGGTGACCAAACTGGGCTCTGAGTCCCATTTATCTTTGAGAGGGGTTGTTACTCTCACAGAGCCACTGGGCTTCACTGGGTCCGTGGCAAGAATCAGGGCCTCTTACTCGCATGGTTGGAACTGCCCGAGGGCCTTCAACTACCCAGGTGTGGTTGAGCAGGAAAACAACGACTCCCTTTCGTTTGTGTGTTGCTTTCAGGCCCTCATGTTTGGCTCTGGAGTTTCACCCAAGCTTGGCATGGATCCGTTCTGGTTGGAGCTCCTATTCGTTAACCCTGCAGGAAGTTGCCCAGTGCCGTAAGTAGATGCTTGGCCAGCTGGTTGGCTCTTGCGGCATTTATTCCCTTGGTCGAGCTGACCCCATGCAAGTGATCCTTCTACCTTGCGCAGTCGACAAGACAAAACAGCCAAACTTCACCCGAACAGTTGCTCATAATGTCATAAGAGACAAACAACACGAACAGCAGAAGACAAGTTTGGTTCCCAGAGTGGGAGAAGGTCGGCACACGGCCACGACTGTTCCTCCCTTTTCAAGGACAACGCGTCCATGGTTCGGGCGAACTCCGACGCAGGTCCCCACCTTTTGGATGGGAAACACGTAGCGCCGCCGCTGGCGGTCTGCTTGGTCACGGGTCCGGCCCGCCAGGGCGCCTGCAAACGAAACACCGAGGGGAATGGTCACGCCTCGGTGGGTCTGGGTCTACCCTCGTTTGCGTGGATTGTTTATATATATTTATGTGTTAATTTTGGGGGGGGTTGGGGGGGAGGGGTCACCGGGGATTGTTCCCTTTGAGATGGAGGTTTTACTCTTCTTCCAAGCAGGGAAGTTCATCAACAAACAATGGCTGTGAATCTTGACTGGGGACACTTTGGAGGACATACATTTACACTGCGAAAAATGTCCATCGACCATGTTTGAGGGTGTTCACCAAAAGAACAGAGCCGCATCAGCCTCATCTGTTGAGCCACCCCAAACGAGCTGCACGCAAAGCAGCTCGAAGGCAGGTTGCCCTTCTCCAAACATGGAAGTGGACATGAGGCCTTTCCAGCGGAATAGTAATCTTCCCAAACCCCCCGATCCAAGTCCGTGATTGGAAACAGGGTAAATGAACGAGAAGGGTCCGAAGCAATTCCTTAGATCAACTTCAACCGACAAAGTTTAGTGGTCGGCTGGTCCCCCCTCCAGACAAACAACCGTGCGTGTTTGCTGTCCTCATTTGAGGGCTGTTGGAATTGGAGGTTCCCCTGGCCTTTTTGCCGGTGGTTCTTCAAAGAATGTCTCTCGAAAAGGGGCGTCGTGTTCAAAGGCTCAACACGCACCAACTTCCTCCAAAGTCTCAAATGAAGCAACGGCATGCATTCTGAGCACAGGCTTCGACTAGTCAGGCACTCAACTCATCGGACACATTTGGGTGTGTCTGTGTTTGAGGGTACCCTTTTCGGTTGGTTTAAAGGGACATTGGCGCACCCCATTTCAGCTGCAAGAGTTTCCCTCGGTCACCGCCAGCTCATGGCAAGGTTTCGCTTTTGACGCCCCCGAAGCCCGAAACTCAAGCAAGGGCTTCGACACGTCCGAAGGGGCTGCCCCTCAGCCCCAGTACAACCCATTAACCACCGATTTTGGCTGACATGCTCATTTGGGTATGCAAGCATCTCAGAGAACCTTACAAACCGCGCCACGTTCAATCATCCACACAAGTGAGGAGGTCAAAGGAATCCACCCCCTCTTTGCTCCAAACAATGCGTTGAATGCACCCACCAGGAACTATAGAACTAACGGACAAGCCGGAAATTGGAATCATACTAACTGCGGTTTTGGGCGAACACGAAGTAGCCCAGGGAAGCAAATGAGTACAAAGAAGATCACAATGTACCCAAAGCACCCGGAATCACAACTCGGGTGAAGCTGTGGATGATGACCGGGTTGAGGAAGTGACGGTTGGTAGAGAGAAGTTTGGGGAAGTTGGGAATCAAGTTGAAGAAGTATAAGTACTCAACCAAGCCCAGCAAACCCTGCCGCACCACCGGATACCTCCCACAACCAACTGCCCCCAGCACCGAGACCTTTTCCCGGTGATGTGGGCGGCTGCCGTTGTATGGCGTCCGCACGTGGTGCCAGAGCTAAACTGACGGGGGGTTGAAAACTTGAGCCAAACGGCCATTCGGCCGTTTTGCCACATGAAGAAACAACACGTGAACAAAACACACCCCCCTCATCCGATATCTGGACGAGAGAAAGGATGCGAGACAGTTGAGTTCACGACGAAAGGGACCAACCAAAAATGCCGGTGTCAACTCAGAGGTGAGCCAAACGGCATCACCTGGGCCCCAGTTAAAATCCCGCCACCACCCCGAATTAACGGGGCGACAGGATTATTTGACGAATGGACCACATGAGTGAACAATGACATATTGGAGGAACCAGACGAAGATTCCTCTCGTGCCGTTCATGCATTGTCATGGGACGACAACATGCGGAGGGGGACCCTATCTGGATCACCGCGCCTCACTGCACGCCGTGAAGTGGTTGGAGGAGTAGTCGAGTTGGGAGGAAATTAGAAAAGGAAGTTCCGAAATTGGTGTGAAAATATCCGGCTACGGCCGGCCCGGCACTTCTAGTGCGGTCACAGCCTCACACAGGATCGCCAGGGGAACCGTCTCCGGCGCGCACGGCAGCGGTGCGGGAGGGACACGAACAACGCCGGATCAGCGGTACAGGGCAATGGAGACCATCACCCCCAGCAGTGCCGCATGGGCGAGAGGAGGACCGGCGCGGTCGCGTTTTTCGGCGACACACGTGCCATCCTCGCCCTTCTAAGGCGGATGCTGATTGCGGTACCTGCCTACCACCCTGAACCAGGTTCTTCCCGGTCTCTGGGCGCGTCGTCTCTCCGGCGTCCACCGCGGTCACCTCGATCACCTCCTCCATCCCGACGGCGATCCTCACCACCACCCCTACTGTGGTCGCCAGCCGGAGGTCGGCGAGGCGGAGGGGGATCTGATTGGTGACGTCGGTCATCCCTGCGCCGGTCCCGGTGGCGATCGCGACGGTCATCAGCCGGGTCATCACGTCCGCGGCGCTCATCTCGCCCCGGACCGCGCCTCTCGGATGGCTCCTCATGACGTGGAGGAGGTCGGCGATCATCGCGTCGGCCTCCGCGGGTATCCCTGCCACGATCATCCCTTTGTCGGGGCGGGCCAGGATCCTCGCGTCCACCTTTGCCAGGTCGATGTTTTCCTCGACCCTTCCCCTCACCCTTAGGGCCGCGACGATCCTCGCGGGCCCCAAGCGCGGTCCTTGACCGATCGTCATCTCGGTGGGGCCGTGACTCATTGGCCGCACGAGTGGTCCGAGGCACGCCCGGGGGAAGCTCCCACTCATCGTTGTCGTCATCGCGCGGGTCATAGCCGCCATGGCCGCCCAAGGAACCGGTGGCATCCCGTGGTGGGGACGCAGGAGTTCCGGGACCGCCCGATCGAAGACGAACCCGGGGAGTCGCGTCCTCGCCGGTAAAAGGATCCTTCTGGGTGTAGAAACCCTTGGTTCTGCCCCTTCTCTCCCCCCCTTCCGCACCGCTTCTCGCGGGGACCGGGGATGGACGGGCAGGCTGGGCCATGCTCTTAGAGCTGGGTTGCCCGCCAGGCGGGACTTGAACGCCCCCCTGCCCTTTCTCGGGCGCGGGGACCCGACCACGAGATGTCCTCCTGGCCTTGGGTTGGTCGGACTCACCCTCCAGCTCGGACTCGGTGTCAGGGACACGAGTATTGACGGCCATGTCCTCTTCCTCAAACGGATCCCCAGCCGTGGTAACGCCTGCAGCAATGGGAGCGGGAGGAGGAGGAGGAGGAGTTGGCACAGCTTCGCCAGAACCGACGCCTGCGTGCGACACCACGGGAGTCTCCGGTTCTACCGGGACAGGCGGCGCAGGAGGAGCCGGGGGCGGTGGCGGAGGGGGAGGGATCTCCTCCTCGTCGTCGCCCATGGGCTCGTCAAGGTCGTCAGGCTTCTCGTCATCTTTGTGCGAAGACCCATCCGATCCCAGCTCATCCTCCGCTGATCCAGCAAAGTCGGGCTCGTCTTCGTCTTTCACGCCGGGGCCTGGTGTAAGGCGAATTCCGGGTCGATGGCGATCGCGGGGTCGGAAGCGGTATTTCCTTGGTACAGGGTCGGCCAGCTCCTGTTTGATGTCATCCTGGGTTTGAGGACGGTCGGCCAAGCATGTGTCGTAGGCAACGGTGGACGTCCGGTAGATCAGATCATCCATACTGCTGAGGTCGTTGAGCGTGTAGATGTATCCCTTCTTAATGCCTTCCCGTATCGTGTCCATAGCCTGTTTGAGGCGCGCGGCGGGATCGAATCCGGCCTTTCTCCGCATGGCCTGCATTATCCCGCAGTGCTGTGCGAGCAGCCCCACCTGGGCCTTGAACCCCTCCCCGGACACATCGTTGGGGAGTATCGGAGAAAGGTGCCCTGATCTCAGCCCAATGATATGGGCCTCAACCATGTAGTAGGACGTGTAAAAGCCGCACCGGTTGGCGTTGAAGTTTGCGGTGGTTAGGCGTCTGCCCCACTCAGCCGCATATCCCTCATATTCTTCGAAGAAGTCGGGGACGGAGCTCCCGTTGAAGGCAAGACCCCTTACCAAGATCGCCTTTGCGACCCACTCTTCCACGTTGTGGTCGACCGTGTCACGGTACTTGCCGTCAAGAACTTCGTCTCGGAGCGAGTCGTGAAGTTTTCGGAAAATGCCATCCACGTCCTCTTTGTCGAGGTACTTAGGAGGCCGCATCCCAGACATCAACAAGGACCGGGCATCGACGGCGGGACTCTGCGAGTAGAGGGCCATTCCGATGGCGTTGGCGTCTGCGTTGTTCCACAGAGCGGGGACGACGCCCTCGTATTTTGCCAGCCAGGGAGGAATCACCCCGTCGGTGCTCGCTATCGTGCGAGGGCCGCCGTTCGTGTCTCCGGTGGGCAGGACGCCCTCATAGAAGATGGGAAGGTAGCAGGCGGTGCACAGGTGAGCGCCGATCGGGTGGGCCGTCATGCACCTATGGCATGGAGCGGACACCACCTCGCGGACATGCTCCGTCTTGGTGATCTGGTGATACTTCTCCATCTCGTCCCGACACTTCCTCGGGTTATCACTCACGGAGTTGAGGAAGTGGGCGGATAGCACCAAGGCCTCAGGTAAATGATGGAGCAGTCCTCCTTGAAGTAGACGCATCTCCAGTGCCCGATCGCGATGTTCTCGCGCGATGCAAAGGTACCCTGACGAGTAATATGCATGCCCCCATTTTCCATGGAGAAGAAACGTGCATCGATAGCCATGACCACATATCGGGGATCGCTCCTTTGGCGTCGACCCGAGGTGTGCAGCTCCGTCACATTGCTGTCGGTGATGCGGTCGACAGTGTCGTTGGGGCATTCTCCGTGATCGCGGAGGGATTGATATTCATCCGGCCTAGAGGGAAGGAGCTCGATCAGAGCTCGCCCACCCCGAATGATCGCCCCACGTTCTACGTAGAGCCGATACATCCGGAGAGGCACCACCTTGTAGAGTGTCTTGGGAACCACCTTGGATGTGATAGGAAGACAAACAGGGCTCTCGTAGAGCATGTATTGGTATCGTTCACGAAATGCTCGGTAA